CTAGTGATATTGTTATCAGATAGACTGTAACAATATCACAGTCACTAGTGATATTGTTATCAGATAGACTGTAACAATATCACAGTCACTAGTGATATTGTTATCAGATAGACTGTAACAATATCACAGTCACTAGTGATATTGTTATCAGATAGACTGTAACAATATCACAGTCACTAGGGATTATGTTATCAGATAGACTGTAACAATATCACAGTCACTAGGGATATTGTTATCAGATAGACTGACTGTAACAATATCACAGTCACTAGGGATATTGTTATCAGATAGACTGTAACAATATCACAGTCACTAGGGATATTGTTATCAGATAGACTGACTGTAACAATATCACAGTCACTAGGGATATTGCTATCAGATAGACTGTAACAATATCACAGTCACTAGGGATATTGTTATCAGATAGACTGACTGTAACAATATCACAGTCACTAGGGATATTGTTATCAGATAGACTGTAACAATATCACAGTCACTAGGGATATTGTTATCAGATAGACTGACTGTAACAATATCACAGTCACTAGGGATATTGTTATCAGATAGACTGTAACAATATCACAGTCACTAGGGATATTGTTATCAGATAGACTGTAACAATATCACAGTCTCTAGTGATATTGTTATCAGATAGACTGTAACAATAACACAGTCACTAGGGATATTGTTATCAGATAGACTGTAACAATATCACAGTCACTAGGGATATTGTTATCAGATAGACTGTAACAATATCACAGTCACTAGTGATATTGTTATCAGATAGACTGTAACAATATCACAGTCACTAGTGATATTGTTATCAGATAGACTGTAACAATATCACAGTCACTAGGGATATTGTTATCAGATAGACTGTAACAATATCACAGTCACTAGGATATTGTTATCAGATAGACTGTAACAATATCACAGTCACTAGGGATATTGTTATCAGATAGACTGTAACAATATCACAGTCACTAGTGATATTGTTATCAGATAGACTGTAACAATAAACACAGTCACTAGGGATATTGTTATCAGATAGACTGACTGTAACAATATCACAGTCACTAGTGATATTGTTATCAGATAGACTGTAACAATAACACAGTCACTAGGGATATTGTTATCAGATAGACTGTAACAATAACACAGTCACTAGGGATATTGTTATCAGATAGACTGTAACAATATCACAGTCACTAGGGATATTGTTATCAGATAGACTGACTGTAACAATATCACAGTCACTAGTGATATTGTTATCAGATAGACTGTAACAATAACACAGTCACTAGGGATATTGTTATCAGATAGACTGTAACAATATCACAGTCACTAGGGATATTGTTATCAGATAGACTGTAACAATATCACAGTCACTAGTGATATTGTTATCAGATAGACTGTAACAATATCACAGTCACTAGTGATATTGTTATCAGATAGACTGTAACAATATCACAGTCACTAGGGATATTGTTATCAGATAGACTGTAACAATATCACAGTCACTAGGGATATTGTTATCAGATAGACTGTAACAATATCACAGTCACTAGGGATATTGTTATCAGATAGACTGTAACAATATCACAGTCACTAGTGATATTGTTATCAGATAGACTGTAACAATAACACAGTCACTAGGGATATTGTTATCAGATAGACTGACTGTAACAATATCACAGTCACTAGTGATATTGTTATCAGATAGACTGTAACAATAACACAGTCACTAGGGATATTGTTATCAGATAGACAGACTGTAACAATATCACAGTCACTAGGGATATTGTTATCAGATAGACTGACGGTAACAATATCACAGTCACTAGTGATATTGTTATCAGATAGACTGTAACAATAACACAGTCACTAGTGATATTGTTATCAGATAGACTGTAACAATATCACAGTCACTAGGGATATTGTTATCAGATAGACTGTAACAATATCACAGTCACTAGTGATATTGTTATCAGATAGACTGTAACAATATCACAGTCACTAGTGATGTTGTTATCAGATAGACTGACTGTAACAATATCACAGTCACTAGTGATATTGTTATCAGATAGACTGTAACAATATCACAGTCACTAGTGATATTGTTATCAGATAGACTGACTGTAACAATATCACAGTCACTAGTGATATTGTTATCAGATAGACTGTAACAATATCACAGTCACTAGTGATATTGTTATCAGATAGACTGTAACAATATCACAGTCACTAGTGATATTGTTATCAGATAGACTGTAACAATATCACAGTCACTAGTGATATTGTTATCAGATAGACTGTAACAATATCACAGTCACTAGTGATATTGTTATCAGATAGACAGACTGTAACAATATCACAGTCACTAGTGATATTGTTATCAATAGACTGTAACAATATCACAGTCACTAGGGATATTGTTATCAGATAGACTGACTGTAACAATATCACAGTCACTAGGGATATTGTTATCAGATAGACTGTAACAATATCACAGTCACTAGGGATATTGTTATCAGATAGACTGACTGTAACAATATCACAGTCACTAGGGATATTGTTATCAGATAGACTGTAACAATATCACAGTCACTAGGGATATTGTTATCAGATAGACTGTAACAATATCACAGTCACTAGTGATATTGTTATCAGATAGACTGTAACAATAACACAGTCACTAGGGATATTGTTATCAGATAGACTGTAACAATATCACAGTCACTAGGGATATTGTTATCAGATAGACTGACTGTAACAATATCACAGTCACTAGGGATATTGTTATCAGATAGACTGTAACAATATCACAGTCACTAGGGATATTGTTATCAGATAGACTGACTGTAACAATATCACAGTCACTAGGGATATTGTTTCAGATAGACTGTAACAATATCACAGTCACTAGGGATATTGTTATCAGATAGACTGACTGTAACAATACCACAGTCACTAGGGATATTGTTATCAGATAGACTGTAACAATATCACAGTCACTAGGGATATTGTTATCAGATAGACTGACTGTAACAATATCACAGTCACTAGGGATATTGTTATCAGATAGACTGTAACAATATCACAGTCACTAGGGATATTGTTATCAGATAGACAGACTGTAACAATAACACAGTCACTAGGGATATTGTTATCAGATAGACTGTAACAATAACACAGTCACTAGGGATATTGTTATCAGATAGACAGACTGTAACAATATCACAGTCACTAGGGATATTGTTATCAGATAGACAGACTGTAACAATATCACAGTCACTAGGGATATTGTTATCAGATAGACTGTAACAATATCACAGTCACTAGGGATATTGTTATCAGATAGACTGTAACAATATCACAGTCACTAGGGATATTGTTATCAGATAGACTGTAACAATATCACAGTCACTAGGGATATTGTTATCAGATAGACTGTAACAATATCACAGTCACTAGGGATATTGTTATCAGATAGACTGTAACAATATCACAGTCACTAGGGATATTGTTATCAGATAGACTGTAACAATATCACAGTCACTAGGGATATTGTTATCAGATAGACTGTAACAATATCACAGTCACTAGTGATATTGTTATCAGATAGACTGTAACAATATCACAGTCACTAGTGATATTGTTATCAGATAGACTGTAACAATATCACAGTCACTAGGGATATTGTTATCAGATAGACTGTAACAATATCACAGTCACTAGTGATATTGTTATCAGATAGACTGACTGTAACAGTATCACAGTCACTAGTGATATTGTTATCAGATAGACTGTAACAATATCACAGTCACTAGTGATATTGTTATCAGATAGACTGTAACAATATCACAGTCACTAGTGATATTGTTATCAGATAGACTGTAACAATATCACAGTCACTAGGGATATTGTTATCAGATAGACTGTAACAATATCACAGTCACTAGTGATATTGTTATCAGATAGACAGACTGTAACAATATCACAGTCACTAGTGATATTGTTATCAGATAGACTGTAACAATATCACAGTCACTAGTGATATTGTTATCAGATAGACAGACTGTAACAATATCACAGTCACTAGTGATATTGTTATCAGATAGACTGTAACAATATCACAGTCACTAGTGATATTGTTATCAGATAGACTGTAACAATATCACAGTCACTAGTGATATTGTTATCAGATAGACTGTAACAATATCACAGTCACTAGGGATATTGTTATCAGATAGACTGTAACAATATCACAGTCACTAGGGATATTGTTATCAGATAGACTGTAACAAAATAAATCGTCGGTTCCTGATGAACTTTTTTCAAGGTTCATAAGATGTGCAAAATGGAACTTTGTGAACCACTAACATTTTTAATATATGTCTTCAAACACGTGTAGTGTCTGATATGTGGAAGATGCCCAGCGTAATTCCTATTTTTAAATCAGGGGGACAAGTCCTTACCATCAGATTACCGCCCAATAAGCCAATTGTAGGCAAATTACTGGAACCAATTATAACTGATATTATAAGAATCCATCTTGATAAGCATAATTTGATTAATGATACTCAGCATGAATTCACGAGGGGCCGTTCCTGTCAACTTACGTAACTAACTTTCTTCAGTAAAGCATTTGAGGCTATCCAAGATCTTAGCCTCCATTACCCCTCTTGGTAGACTGAGAGTGCAGATTCAGGCCCTCAGTCTATCCTGGTAGGAAAAATTTCTGAAATATATCGAGTCTGTAATTCTCCTTTGTACGTTTTCCAGAGCATTTGTATCCATTCTATAATTCGGTGAATAGATCTCTGCAGCATAATCTAAATGAGGCCTAACCTCGTCTTGAATCAGTCTTAAGCAGGAAAGATGACTGTATCGTGATGGGGTTATGGCTGGGGTCGTGACTGGGGTTATGGCTGGGGTCGTGACTGGGGTCGTGACTGGGGTTATGACTGGGGTTATGGCGAAGGTTAGTCTGTGAGACGTATTCCTCTTTGTATCGTTCAGAATCTTTTTATTTAGTTAAAATAAATAAGAAAAAATAAAAATGGGTCGAAATATTGTGATTTGATGTGGAGAATGCTACGGGGGCCAGCTGGCCATGAATGTTACAGGGGCCAGCTGGCCATAAATGGTACAGGGTTCAGCTAGCCATGAATATTCAGGGGCCAGTTGATTATGACTGTTACAGGGACCAGCTGGCCTTGAATGGTACAGGGGCCAGCTGGTCATGAATGGTACAGGGGCCAGTTGGCCATGACTGTTACAGGGGCCAATTGGGCCTTGGCAGTGAAAGGAGAATACAAATGTAGAGAGCAAAATAGGTATCAGTATACTGATATAAGTAGGTAGGCTGAGACTAAGGTAGGCTGAGACTAAGGTAGGCTGAGACTAAGGTAGGCTGAGACTAAGGTAGGCTGAGACCAAGGTCAGAGAAAGATAGATAGATGAATGAAGGGTAACTGAGACAGAAACTATTATCCATCAGTATCTGGTGGTGTTTAGAAGGCACTAGAAAACGACTAGAAGACGTCTAGTAGACGCTAAAAGACATTAGAAAGTATCAGAAGGCGTCTCTTAGACGCTGGAAGAGGTCGGATGATTTCTATAGAAGACGCCAGTGACGAGGGATACCACTGTCGTTTATTTCTTGTTGAAGTTGTCGGGTACGAAGTTGTCGAGTTCGATGTTGTCGAGTTCGACGTTGTCAAGGTCGTCAAGATATGCGAAGGCTCCCTGGGCACCTTCTTTTCTTTCTTGTCGAAGTTCTCAAGGCCTGAGTCTTTTAGAAGGGTCTTCCAAAGAAACAAAGACTCCCTGGGAACCTTCGTTTCATTCTTGATGAAGACCTCAAGGTCTATTTCTTATCGAAGTCCTTGAAGTCTTCCAGAAGAACGAAGAAGCCCTGGATCCTTTCGTTTCATTCTTGTAGACCTCCAAGGTCCATTTCTTATCGAAGTCTTCGAGGTCTTCCAGAGAAAAGAAGAGTCCCTGGGCGCCTTCTTTTCTCTCTCGTCGAAGTTCTCAATGTCTATTTCTTGTCGAAGTCAAGATCTTCCAGAGAAACAAAGGATCCCTGAGCACCATCGGCCTTCTGGCCCTCAGCAGTGGCGGGGACAGCGTTGGACTCGACGATGCGGTATCCATCTTCGTCAGCCACATACTTGACGAAGAACTCCTGGCCTTCAGGAGAGGTCCAGCTGCAAAGTGAATAACACTGGCGTGAGTAAATTCAGTTACACGCAAAGTTCATCATCCCATTAGTGAATATGACTCATACAGTCAGTTGTGTATGTTGGCAGGTTTGTTTCTTGTTTACAGAAGGTTCCTTCAAGGACCTGATGCCTCTGAGGACCACTTAAACAGGATTGTATGCTGTTTACAAAGGGTTCCTGCAAGAACCTCTGAGGGGAATTTGGAAGCCTCTTCAACCAAGGAATTAAAGCTACCTTTCTCTATCTTAGATCGAAGCTGATCCCTTTCCCAGATGCCGTGTAACCTCTACGATCTCCTGAAGCAGATCCTTCAGAAGTCCTGATGGAAGACTCACCTGTAGGTGCCGCTGACGGAGGTATCATCAGCAATATCCAGGTCGTGGTGGATGTCTTCTAGGTCCAGGATAGTGTCCGGGCGAGCGACGACCACGGCCACCAGACCCAAGAGGACGACTACCTGAAAAATGACAAGAACGACCATAACAATCCACTTTGAGTTCTTTCTCGCATATGCTAGAAGACAGTAGCTGACTGAACCCGAAACGTGCAGATCTTTTCTGCAACTAGGGAGTACATAAGAAAGAAGGAGCACGGCAGAAGGCCTACTGATCCATGTTAGGCAGTCCAAGAGGAAACAGGAGGCGATATTTCAGTCCATTCTAAACCGTTGTCGGCTCACAGCCGAAATGTTTTGGCCAGAGTTTCTCCCTAAAGATACCAGCTACCTACCAAGCATTCATTGAGACAACGTTTCGCTCCTTGTAGAGCTTTATCGGGTCTCCTTGAAGTTCTACATGAAGCGAAAAGTGCATCCAACAACTATGAAACAAAGTTATGTTGGCAACATTTCGGAAAATCTACTATTGAAGCCCCCAGCGGGCGAAACATCTGATGAAATGAAGGAGGAGAAGACCAGAGACATTGACAAACAGATGTCTAGACAGACAGATAGATAGATAGATTTACAGAAAAAACAGAGATAGATATATAGAAAATAGATACGTAGACAACTAGATACAAAGATGGATAGATAAAATAGACAGATAGATAAACGGATAGATGAACAGATATATTGCTAGATAAATAGACAGGTATATTGATAGATAAATGGACAGATAGAGGAAGACAGACAGATATATTGATACATAAATGGACAGATAGAGGAAGACAGACAGATATATTGATACATAAATGGACAGATAGAGGAAGACAGACAGATATATTGATACATAAATGGACAGATAGAGGAAGACAGACAGATATATTGATACATAAATGGACAGATAGAGGAAGACAGACAGATATATTGATACATAAATGGACAGATAGAGGAAGACAGACAGATATATTGATACATAAATGGACAGATAGAGGAAGACAGACAGATATATTGATACATAAATGGACAGATAGAGGAAGACAGACAGATATATTGATACATAAATGGACAGATAGAGGAAGACAGACAGATATATTGATACATAAATGGACAGATAGAGGAAGACAGACAGATATATTGATACATAAATGGACAGATAGAGGAAGACAGACAGATATATTGACAGATAGACAGACAGATAGATAGAGGACAATAGACTACTCACTGCCAACTTCATCATGCTATGACTGCAAGCTTCCAGAGAAGGAATGACAACACTGCAGGTTACCCAGGGCTCTTATATACCCACGCCCACACCCACCCGCCCTGGTGTACGCCCAGCTGCCGGCTCTACCCCTCCAACCCACCCACAACCCACCCTCTACCTACCCCTACCCACCTTCCACCTGACCTACACTGGTCTATATTAGCTGAGTGACCTTACCTGAGTTCCCTTCTCTCACAGGAAGGTCACAGGTCAGCCTTGGGTCACACATATTATTATTATTATTACTAATGAACATTACAGTAGGCCTACTGGCCTATGCTAGGTAGGTTCAGTGTTTCATAAAGTCGGCAGGGTAGGCCTACTGGCCTATGTTAGGTAGGTACAGTGCTTCATAAAGTCAGCAGGGTAGGCCTACTGGCCTATGCTAGGTAGGTACAGTGCTTCATAAAGTCAGCAGGGTAGGCCTACTGGCCTATGCTAGGTAGGTTTAACTCACTTCTCTATTATCAAAATTTTGTTTCTAAATTCTTACTAAATCTAAAATTCTCTAATTTGAATCAACACTGTCAGTCCTGTCTTACTGTCAGATCTGTCTTACTGTCAGTCCTGTCTTACTGTCAGTTCTGTCTTACTGTCAATCCTGTCTTACTGTCAGTTCTGTCTTACTGTCAGTTCTGTCTTACTGTCAGTTCTGTCTTACTGTCAGTTCTGTCTTACTGTCAGTCCTGTCTTACTGTCAGTCCTGTCTTACTGTCAATCCTGTCTTACTGTCAGTTCTGTCTTACTGTCAGTTCTGTCTTACTGTCAGTTCTGTCTTACTGTCAGTTCTGTCTTACTGTCAATCCTGTCTTACTGTCAGTCCTGTCTTACTGTCAATCCTGTCCTACTGTCAGTTCTGTCTTACTGTCAGTTCTGTCTTACTGTCAGTTCTGTCTTGCTGTCAGTTCTGTCTTACTGTCAGTTCTGTCTTACTGTCAGTTCTGTCTTACTGTCAGTCCTGTCTTACTGTCAGTTCTGTCTTACTGTCAATCCTGTCTTACTGTCAGTCCTGTCTTACTGTCAGTTCTGTCTTACTGTCAATCCTGTCTTACTGTCAGTCCTGTCTTGCTGTCAGTTCTGTCTTTCTGTCAGTTCTGTCTTACTGTCAGTCCTGTCTTAATGTCAGTCCTGTCTTACTGTCAGTCCTGTCTTGCTGTCAGTCCTGTCTTAAGGTCAGTTCTGTCTTACTGTGCCCTCAGTCTGTCCTCGTAAGATAGACAGTGCCCTCAGTCTATCATCGTAAGATAGACAGTGCCCTCAGTCTATTCCCGTAGGATAGACAGTGCCTTCAGTCTGTCCTCGTAGGATAGACCGTGCCCTCAGTCTGTCCTCGTAGGATAGACCGTGCCCTCAGTCTGTCCTCGTAGGATAGACAGTGCCCTCAGTCTGTCCTCGTAGGATAGACCGTGCCCTCAGTCTATCATCGTAAGATAGACAGTGCCCTCAGTTTATTCCCGTAGGATAGACAGTGCCTTCAGTCTATCATCGTAAGATAGACAGTGCCCTCAGTCTATTCCCGTAGGATAGACAGTGCCCTCAGTCTGTTATCGTAGGATTGACAGTGCCCTCAGTCTGTCATCGTAGGATAGACAGTGCCCTTCAGTCTATTCCCGTAGGATAGACATTTCCCTCAGTCTTTTCCCGTAGGATAGACAGTGCCCTCAGTCTGTCATCGCAGGATAGACAGTGCCCTCAGTCTGTCATCGTAGGATAGACAGTGCCCTCAGTCTGTCATCGTAGGATAGACAGTGCCCTCAGTCTGTCATCGTAGGATAGACAGTGCCCTCAGTCTGTCATCGCAGGATAGACAGTGCCCTCAGTCTGTCATCGTAGGATAGACAGTGCCCTCAGTCTATTCCCGTAGGATAGACAGTGCCCTCAGTCTGTCATCGTAGGATAGACAGTGCCCTCAGTCTATTCCCGTAGGATAGACAGTGCCCTCAGTCTGTCATCGTAGGATAGACAGTGCCCTCAGTCTATTCCCGTAGGATAGACAGTGCCCTCAGTCTTTTCCCGTAGGATAGACAGTGCCCTCAGTCTTTCCCGTAGGATAGACAGTGCCCTCAGTCTATTCCCGTAGGATAGACAGTGCCCTCAGTCTATTCCCGTAGGATAGACAGTGCCCTCAGTCTCTTTTTCCCGTAGGATAGACAGTGCCCTCAGTCTATTCCCGTAGGATAGACAGTGCCCTCAGTCTATTCCCGTAGGATAGACAGTGCCCTCAGTCTGTCATCGCAGGATAGACAGTGCCCTCAGTCTGTCATCGCAGGATAGACAGTGCCCTCAGTCTGTCATCGCAGGATAGACAGTGCCCTCAGTCTGTCATCGTAAGATAGATAGTGCCCTCAGTCTATTCCCGTAGGATAGACAGTGCCCTCAGTCTGTCATCGTAGGATAGACAGTGCCCTCAGTCTGTCTTCGTAGGATGGACAGTGCCCTCAGTCTGTCATCGCAGGATAGACAGTGCCATCAGTCTGTCATCGCAGGATAGACAGTGCCCTCAGTCTGTCATTGCAGGATAGACAGTGCCCTCAGTCTGTCATCGCGGGATAGATAGTGCCCTCAGTCTGTCATCGTAGGATAGACAGTGCCCTTAATCTGTCATCGCAGGATAGACAGTGCCCTCAGTCTGTCATTGCAGGATAGACAGTGCCCTCAGTCTGTCATCGTAGGATAGACAGTGCCCTCAGTCTGTCATCGTAGGATAGATAGTGCCCTCAGTCTATTCCCGTAGGATAGACAGTGCCCTCAGTCTGTTATCGTAGGATAGACAGTGCCCTCAGTCTGTCATCGTAGGATAGATAGTGCCCTCAGTCTATTCCCGTAGGATAGACAGTGCCCTCAGTCTGTCATCGTAGGATAGACAGTGCCCTCAGTCTGTCATCGTAGGATAGACAGTGCCCTCAGTCTGTCATCGTAGGATAGACAGTGCCCTCAGTCTGTCATCGTAGGATAGACAGTAGCCTCAGTCTATTCCCGTAGGATAGACAGTGCTCTCATTCTTTTATCGTAGGATAGACAGTGCCCTCAGTCTGTCATCGTAGGATAGACAGTGCCCTCAGTCTGTCATCGTAGGATAGACAGTGCCCTCAGTCTGTCATCGTAGGATAGAGAGTGCCCTCAGTCTGTCATCGTAGGATAGACAGTGCCCTCAGTCTGTCATCGTAGGATAGACAGTGCCTTCAGTGTGTCATCGTAGGATAGACAGTGCCCTCAGTGTGTCATTGTAGGATAGACAGTGCCTTCAGTGTGTCATTGTAGGATAGACAGTGCCCTCAGTCTGTCATCGTAGGATAGACAGTGCCCTCAGTCTGTCATCGTAGGATAGACAGTGCCCTCAGTGTGTCATTGTAGGATAGACAGTGCCCTCAGTCTGACATCGTAGGATAGACAGTGCCCTCAGTCTGTCATCGTAGGATAGACAGTGCCTTCAGTGTGTCATTGTAGGATAGACAGTGCCTTCAGTGTGTCATCGTAGGATAGACAGTGCCCTCAGTGTGTCATTGTAGGATAGACAGTGCCTTCAGTGTGTCATTGTAGGATAGACAGTGCCTTCAGTGTGTCATCGTAGGATAAACAGTGCCCTCAGTGTGTCATTGTAGGATAGACAGTGCCTTCAGTGTGTCATTGAAGGATAGACAGTGCCTTCAGTGTGTCATTGTATTATAGACAGTGCCTTCAGTGTGTCATCGTAGGATAGACAGTGCCTTCAGTGTGTCATTGTAGGATAGACAGTGCCTTCAGTGTGTCATTGCAGGATAGACAGTGCCCTCAGTCTGTCATCGTAGGATAGACAGTGCCCTCAGTCTGTCATCGTAGGATAGACAGTGCCTTCAGTGTGTCATTGTAGGATAGACAGTGCCCTCAGTCTGTCATCGTAGGATAGACAGTGCCTTCAGTGTGTCATTGTAGGATAGACAGTGCCCTCAGTCTGTCATCGTAGGATAGACAGTGCCCTCAGTCTGTCATCGTAGGATAGACAGTGCCTTCAGTGTGTTATTGTAGGATAGACAGTGCCTTCAGTGTGTCATTGTAGGATAGACAGTGCCCTCAAACTGTCATTGTAGGATAGACAGTGCCTTCAGTGTGTCATTGTAGGATAGACAGTGCCCTCAGACTGTCATTGTAGGATAGACAGTGCCTTCAGTGTGTCATTGTAGGATAGACAGTGCCCTCAGTCTGTCATTATAGGATAGACAGTGCCCTCAGTCTGTCATTGTAGGATAGACAGTGCCCTCAGTGTGTCATTGTAGGATAGACAGTGCCTTCAGTCTGTCATCGTAGGATAGACAGTGCCCTCAGTCTGTCATGTAGGATAGACAGTGCCTTCAGTGTGTCATTGTAGGATAGACAGTGCCTTCAGTCTGTCATCGTAGGATAGACAGTGCCCTCAGTCTGTCATCGTAGGATAGACAGTGCCTTCAGTGTGTCATTGTAGGATAGACAGTGCCTTCAGTCTGTCATCGTAGGATAGACAGTGCCCTCAGTCTGTCATCGTAGGATAACAGTGGCTTCAGTGTGTCATTGTAGGATAGACAGTGCCTTCAGTCTGTCATCGTAGGATAGACAGTGCCCTCAGTCTGTCATCGTAGGATAGACAGTGCCCTCAGTCTGTCATCGTAGGATAGACAGTGCCCTCAGTGTGTCATTGTAGGATAGACAGTCAGCGTCGTCCAAGTCACCAGTAAACAGCAAGGGACCCAACATTACCTCTGTGGTACCCCACTGTTTTATAAGCTAGTTGGGTTGGGCACTTACTGACGACAAAGTGGGTATGTAACGCTGTATATTATATGTCAGTCAGGCAGGGCAGTGAACATGGGCAGGCTTGAGTACCCTGACCCAGAAGACGAGGTTAGTTATAGGTTAGAGATTCCTAGTGTCTAAATATCTAAGTTACGAAATAAAGATAGAAATTGTGGAGGCTTGATACAGCCTCCATGTATGTACAATACAACACTGGTTGTAGTGGAGGCTTGATACAGCCTCCA